TGGGGGAGGGGGAGGGGGGTGCTGCCCCCCGCAGCCCCCTCACCCCCGGGGTGCTGCTCGTCGCAGCCTCGACAGCCCTGGGATACCTCTGCCCCCGGCCCCATCAGCCCTGGGGTACTGCTCACCCCATCCCCATCACCCCTGGGGTGTTTGCCCCCAGCCCCATCACCCCTGGGCTGTCTCTGCCCTCAACCCCATTGTCCCCGGGGTACTGCTCACCCCAGCCCCATCACTCCTGGGGTGTCTCTGTCCTCAACTCTGTCACCCCTGAAGTCCATCTGCCCCAGCCCCATCACCCCTGGGCTGTCTCTGCCCTCAACCCCATCACCCCTGGGGTACTGCTCACCCCCAGCCCCATCACCCCTGGGCTGTCTACCCTCAACCGCATCACCCCTGCGGCGTCTCTGCCCTCAACCCCGTCACCCCTGAGGTGTCTCTGCCCCCTCACCTCACCCCCTGGTGCTCATCCCAGCCCTGTCACCCTCGGGCTACCTCTCGCCCCAGCCCTGTCACCCCTGAGGTGCTGCTCAACCCAAACCCATCACCCTTGGGAGGGTCCCGTTGTACCCCTTATCCGAGCCTCACCGCCCCCGGGAGAGTCTCATGGTGCAGCTTGCCATGGTCCCATCACCCCAGGGCACTGTTTCCCCCGGGTACCGCTCATCCCGGCCCCATCAGCCCCGGGAGGACCCTGCTGTGGGGGACAGGTTGTGCCATGGTTCCCCGCCTCGCTGTGCTCCCCGGCATGCAGACTGGTAGGTGTTTTCCCCTCCGGGTCTTCCTCCTCTCTGCTTTCCCGGAAAGGGAGAGCTCAGGAGAAAAGAAAATGGGACGAAACAAAAGTGGATGCTAACGCTGGCAAGGGGCCGGCAGCTTCCCCGTGCTGCCCGGGCCACCGGCCACAGCGGGGAGCCAGCAGCGGCCATGGGGGACTCACTCCCGGGGTGTCCCTTGGGCCCCCGACACAGCTGATTTCACTGAAGGCTCCCAAAAAAATCAAGACCCTTTTGTGCCTGTCCAAGCTACCGCTGGTCCCTGGCCGGCCCGCACCGTGCCGGCAGCTCCCGAGTGCCACGTCCTGAGCCCCGCGTCCCCGGTGCCTTCCAGGCACCCTGCACCCCGCTCCTGCCAAACCTGCCCCGGAGCCGCCGTGGGCAGGAAGGACCCCCCCAGCCCCCAGCTGCGCCGCAGAGCCCACGCAGGATCAAGGCCAGCGTCTCCGAGGGGAAAACAATGTGCCGCTGTGTGCGCTCCGCCAACAAGGTCATGTTTTGTCTCTGTCCTCCTCCCCCCCCCACC